CAGATCCTGGGCGTGGACCTACTCACCACTCATCAAGCCATGCTGTGGCGGGGTCCCACATAGAGCAGCTAGAATGATGTACAACTATGACATATAACTACCTACTGGGGCTTTGGGGAGAAAAAAGGAAAAAAGGAGGAGGATTGGCAACAGATGTTAGCTCAGGGCCAACCTTCCTCAATAAAAAACCAACAGAGGCCAGCCAGGTGGTGCAGCAGTTAAGTGTGCGCGCTCCGCTGCGGCGGCCCGGGGTTCGCCAGTTCTGATCCCGGACGCGGACTGACGCACGGCTTGTCAAGCCATGCTGTGGCAGCGTCCCATATAAAGTGGAGGAAGATGGGCACGGATGTTAGCCCAGGGCCAGTCTTCCTCAGCAAAAAAGAGGAGGATTGGCAGATGTTAGCTCAGGGCTGATCTCCTTCACAAAACAAACAAACAAAAACAAAAAAACAAAGAATGTGGTAACCTGGACCTGAAACATCATTTAAAAAAAAAAACAATGCTCTTAGAAAGGGGATGACACCAGGAAGCTGCCTTGGTGAAGGTCCGTCAGTGGCCCAGGAGAGGGAAAGAGCAGCTCTTTCTACTCTAGAAAGGGCTTGAGGGCCCAGAAGCCACCTTGGGGCCTTCCTTTCACTTCTTCTAACGGCCTCTGGGGGTGGGCAGAGTCCCACTGGGTCAGCCACTGGGCAACTGTCTCTAGCTCCCATGGACTTTTCCAGAATCCACCTCTTACCACACTCCAGCCACGCTGGCCTTCCCTCTGTTCTTGAACACACCAGGTTGATTTCTCTCCCTCTGCGCTTGCTGTGCCCTCTGCCTGGTGTGCCCCCCTCCCCACTTCACCCCTTCACTTCCTTCCAGCCTTGCTCGCCCTCACCTCACAGAGATGCCTTGCCTGGCCACCCTGGCTGACACCGCAGCCCCCACGTGTGCCCATCGGTCGCCATTCTCTTACCCGGCCTAATTTTTCTTGCTTTCTTTCTTAATATTTATTTTATGTTTTTAAATAAAATATTTCTAACATAGAATAATAAAACAAACACCCATGTACCCCTCTCCCAGATTTGACAAGTGCTAATGTTCTGCCCTATTTGCTTACTTCAGATCCCCCCTTTTAATCAACTTTATTGAGGTATAATTTACATACAATAAATACGTACATTTGAAATGCATAGTTTGTGGATTTTTGGCAAATGCACCCATGTAACCGCCACCACAATCGAGATACAGAAGATTTCCATCACCCCAGAAGGGCCCCTCCTCTCCCTTACCCTGCTGGATTTTTCTTCCTAGTACTCAACATTTTCTGAAATCAGCTCATTTGTGTCTTTTTTAGTCTGTTTCTTGTCTCTCTCTCCCATCGGAGTGTATGTTTCATGAAGACAGGGACCATATCTCGCTCTGCAGTCCTGGCACATAGTAGGCCCCACAATCAGTCTATCAAAGTCATGATATCGTCTTTATTATCCTTGTGTGCATATCTTGACACACAGGTGAGGACATTTGTGGGGTAAGTTCCTTGAAATGAAACTATTGGGTCAAAGGACATTTACTTTTTTTGTTATCATAAAAGAGACATCTATCCTTTCTCTCACCTAGCCGATGTTTGCCAGCCTCAGCACTGTTGCTATTTTGGGCTGGATCTTTCTTTCTTTGGGAGTAGGGGGCTATGCTGTGCATTGCAGGATGTTGAACAGCATCCTGGCCTCTACTGACTAGATGCCAGGGGCATCCTCCACCCCGTTGTGACAACCCAAAATGTCTGCAGACAGTGGTAAATGTCCCCTGGGGGTCAAAATTGTCCCCAGTGGAGAACCACTGGTCTATACAAGTAGGCTCATTTCTTGCCATACTAAATCGTTCCTCCATTGGGCCCATCTCTAAATAAACTACCCGCAATGACGCTAGATTTGTAGAATCCATTTTTCCCCCTCTTTATGCAGCTCAGCTGACTGAATTACAAGTCCTGACCCCTATCCGTAAAGCTGTGTCGTGAGATGAGAAGCTGATTAGTTTTAGAAGCAGGAAGGCATTGCTCTGATTTATAACCTGGGAGGACACAGGGACATGAGTGGCTTCTTCCTGGCCTGGGTGCCAGCAGAATTCTCAGCATTCCTTGCCAGAGGCTAAATATGTTTGCAGGGTCATACCCTGAGGATGCTGCGTTTTCCAGGCCTTCGAGAACAAGGAGGAAACCCCTAGGGACAGTGTAAAGGGCTCTGAACTTCTCTGATTACTCAGGACACTGAGTTGGCCGTTCCTGTCTTGAAAAATCTGCAAGCTCCTCTGCCCAGGGCAGGACAGCAGGAGTGTAAAGGGGTGAAGGACGGGCGGGGACCTGGTGAAATGAAGGGGCAGGTCCCGTCTAGAGGAGCACTGCACTGTGGCCAGATGTTGCCAGGTGGGAATGTGGGCCCAGCCTTGCCAAACCTTCCCATTTTTAAAGAAAGGCAAGAAATTCAGATTTTAAAAAAATGTGAAATATCTTGATTCTTGGATTTTGTAATAATTAGCAAGTAATTTATCTGCTTAAACATGATGCGGGCCAAGCAAAACGCATCTACAGGCTGCCAGTTTGCAACCTCTTGAGTTAATGTGTGACTTTGTTTTTTGTTTGGGACTAACTTACTTGATACAAAAATCTTTTGGTTTGACTGTTTATCCAGTCAACAGATGTTTATTGAGTATCTACTATGTGCCAAGCATTGTTCTAGAGATGCCACGTGGCATTAAGTTGCTGAAATGACTGACACCAAAAGGAATAGAGATTATGGGTGGGTGGATGGATGGATGGGTGGATGGATGGAGGATGGATAGATGATGGATGGATGGAAGATGGATAGATGATGGATGGATGGACGGATAGATAGATAGATCAATCTGGTCTTTTAGAGATATATACTAAAATATTACAGATAAAATATGATGTCTGGGAATTACTTCAGAATAATATGGAGAGTTGAATAAGAGTATAGGTTAATCAGGATTGGCCATGAGATGATATTTGTTAAAGCTGAGTGATGGTGCCTGTGGGGAGGTTCCTTATACTCTTCTGCCTTTTGAATATGATTGGAAATTTCCCATACTGAAAATATTTGTTCTAATGTTCTTATCAGTTAGAGATGTACTCTGAAGGATAACCAGGTAAAATGACATCATGTCTGGGACTTTTTTTTTTTTTTTTTTAAATAATTTTATTCATTTATTTTTCCCCCAAAGCCCCAGTAGATAGTTGTATGTCATAGTTCCACATCCTTCTAGTTGCTGCATGTGGGATGCGGCCTCAGCATGGCCGGAGAAGTGGTGCATCAGTGCGCGCCCGGGATCCGAACCCAGGCTGCCAGTAGCGGAGCACGCGCACTCAACCGCTAAGCCACGGGGCTGGCCCTGTTGTTTTTCTTTAATGTGTGTTGTTTGGGTTTTTTTTTTTTTTGAGGGAGATTGGCCCTATGCTAACATCTGTTGCCAATCTTCCTCTTTTACTTTTTTCTCCCCAAAGCCCCAGTACATAGTTGTGTATCATAGTTGTAGAGTTGTAGCTCTTCTGTGTGGGATGCCCCCTCAGCGTGGCTTGATGTGCGGTGAGTAGGTCCGTTCCCAGGATCTGAACCAGCAAACCCTGGGCCACCAAAGCGGAATGTGCGAATTTAACTGCTATGCCACCAGGCCGGCCCCTGGGACTTGGTTTAAAATATTCAGCTAAAATTTTTTACAAGTCAGGTGTAGATGTGCTATGGTCTGAATGTTTGTGTGTGTGTGTGTGTGTGTGTGTGTGTGTGTCCTGCCGCCAAATTCACTTGTTGGAATCTTAAACCCCAATGTGATGGCCTTAGAAGGTGGGGCCTTGGGGAGGTGATTAGGTCATGAGGGTGGAACCTTCTCAAATGGGAGTAGTGCCCTTATAAAAGAGGCCCCACAGAGTTCCATAGCCCCTTCCACAAGGAGGACACAACGAGAAGTATGCCACACAGAAGAGGGCCCCCCCCCCCCCGACCATGCTCACACCCTGATCTCGGACTTCCAGCCTCCAGAACCATGAGAAATAAATTTCTGCTGTTTATAAGCCACCCAGGCTATGGTATTTTGTTATAGCAGCCCATATAGACTAAGACAAGATGAAACATCCTTCAGAAAAATATGGATAAATTGTTAGAATTGGGTGATGGATATATGGAGATTCGTTATACTGGTCTGTTTAATTTGTATGTGGTTGACAGTTTCTACAATAAAAGAAATTTGTAAGAAAGGGACGGGTGGGGCTTCTATTTTCTAGGTACTTTTGGAAGTATGGAGTCATGCACTGGTTGCTTAGGTGAATTTCCCACAAGTGTGGTACTGTTGACGTTGAGGGAATGGGGACCCTTTAACAAGGGATGTCACAGGCCGAGCGTTGCCATGGTGAGGCTAGAAGCGTGGGCTCTGTTGTGGACTGCAGGTGGAGAACACATTTCTCACCCAGATAGTTGCTCTGCAGGATATTCTGCCTCCCCCGTGTCCTGCTGGGAGGCAGAATAGCATAGTGGTCAGAGTATCTGGAATCAGCTTTCCTGAGTCCAAATACCAGCACTACCACTTTCTAGCTGTGTGGCCTTGGACATGTTATTTAACCCCTCTGAGCCTCAATTTCCTCATCTATTAAATGGGAGTAATACTAATATCTCACAGACTCATTATGAAGATTAAACTAGTTATTACATGTAAAGTGCTTAACACAATACTTGACATGTAGCGTTTATTTATTATCGTTATTGATGCTTTTATTGTTACTGTGTTGTCGCTGCTGTTGAGCGTTCTGAGAGCAGAAAGAACTTTCCGAGATAGGTGGAAGAAAATAATTAGGGGCAGAGGCTAAAGGAAGTCAAAGAAGGTGGCACCCACTGTTATCTGATCCACCCACAGAAGCCCGTTCGTGAGCTGCTGGAATTAGTTTCCTGCATGGTGGATGCAAAAGGTATACAAGAGAAAAGCAACTTCCTGACCGTTTCCTTTTTCTGCAGAATGAAGTAGAGCTGGGGGAGCTGCTTCTGTCGCTGAATTATCTCCCAAGTGCTGGGAGACTGAATGTCGATGTTATTCGAGCCAAGCAACTTCTTCAGACAGACGTGAGCCAAGGTTCAGGTACAGTGCGATCCCCTCCTTCCCCCATTTCTTTGACAAGGCATCTATTATTGTTTCACACAGGGACCTAGTTTTCTTTTTCTGCATCCTGGATACTATTACTGAGACCCTGTGAGGGTAAATAACATCCAGAACTAGAATGTTAGTTCAAGATGGAAAATAAACGATCAGATATCTCTTAGGATGAGGCAGGTAAATGATGCCATCTCAGTATCCCCATTTGAATTGGGGGTTTGACCGAGACCAGGTGTGATAACTACTGAAATCTAGATCCTCTTTGTACACACGCAGCCCCAAGGAAGTTACTTGCCTGTCCCGATGCTGTGCCTGCAATAGAGACACCATGCTCCAGGTGGCGGTAGTGTGCACTGACCATGACTTCTCATCATGGAGAGAGGTGGAAACACCCTGGGGTTTTTTCCCAGCTCATTTCAAGTGTACTATAAATCTATAAATCCCAGCTCTGAAAAGACTGTTGTATTTAAAGTGTCTACTTTATAGCAAACCAATTCAAACATGACTTTTAATGAAATGGAACAGATTACATTCCATCTGTATATAGCTTCTCATGACAGCAAAGCGTATTATCTTGAAAGCAACCGTGGCTGGGATCTCTTCAGCTCAGTGGCGGAAACACTGTCCTCTCTAAGTGCAATGGCTAAAATAAATTACTTTTGCAATAAGGTGACAGCTGAATTTGGAAGACAACTTGGATTCTCAAAAACCACATTATAAAAGCAGAGATTTTGAAAGAACTAATGGAGAGAATGGTATTAAAGCTGGAGAATTTCAGACCCGCCACAGTGGGAGAGTCAATATGATAAAATGATTAAGAGTTTCAGTGTCAAACTGCCTGGAACCAAATCCCATTTTGACTGTTTACAAATGATGTGGCCTTGGAGAAGTGACTTAACCTCTATAAGCCTCAATTTCTCCATCTGAAAAATTGATATAATAACGGTATTCATCTCATTGGGTTGTTTAAACAATATTAAATTAGATGATGTACATGAATATCTTTGTAAACTGTAAAGTGAGCTCAGAATGATAGTTATAATTCTGCCATCTCTATTCTCCTTTGTGTGGGCTATGGGCTCACTGACATGATAATGGGTTTCCAGGGACAGAAGGCCAGGACAGGCTCTTGGTCTGGCTTCTCCTCCACTAGCCAGATCTTAAGCAAGTCATTTCTTGTCTTGAGTCCTTAGTTTTTTCGTTTGTGAAATGAACACAATGCCTGATGCATGAGAGGAGCTCAATAAATATTGGATGGCTGGAGGAAGAGAGAAAGGGATGAACAGATAAGCAATTGGATGTGAAAAAGGAGAAATGAATAATAGATGGATGGATGCAAAAGTGGATGAATGAAAGGGGTGGATGCCTGGACTGATGGATGGAAAGATAGATGGATTAATGGAAAAATAGATGAAAGGATGCGTAGGTGGTTGGGCTATAAGAAAGATGGGAAGATCGATGGCTAGATAGTTGGATGGATGGAAGGATGGGTGGAAGAATGGATAGATGAAAGGGTGGTGAAATGATGGGTGGATGGGTGAACTGATGGATGGATGGATGGAAGGAAGAATGGATGAGTAAAAGGATGGATGGATGGATGGGAAGATGAATAGGTGAATGGATGGATGGATTTGGTTTCAAAATCTCCAACATTCTATCATGCTATGTCCCATTCTCAGACCCCTTTGTGAAAATCCAACTGGTACATGGACTCAAGCTTGTGAAAACAAAGAAGACATCCTTCTTAAGAGGCACAATTGATCCTTTCTACAATGAATCGTTCAGCTTCAAAGTTCCCCAAGAAGAACTGGAAAATGCCAGCCTTGTGTTTACAGGTAGGTGGTGTTCCAGACCCTGATGAACCCCAGGTGAGGCATGTTCAACTTATTGTCCTAGAGATAGAAGGCACCTGGAGAGCATAATGTTTAAGAACTTCATGTCTGGTATTCAGCTAACTGAGTCTGAATCCACTTACTGTCTGTGAACTTGGGCAACACTCATAGAGCCATATAGCATAATAGTTACAAATGTAAACTTTGGAGCCAGATTTCCTGGCACTTCCACATAATTACTGAAGCCTTGGGCAAGTTACCTAGCCCCTCTGAGCCTCAGTTTCTTCCTCTATAAAATGTGGGCAATAATAGTACTTGCTTCATGTTTATTGTGAGGATTAAGTGACTTACACCTTTGCAATAATAATAAGTGCTCACTATGTTAGCTTTGATGGTATGATGATTCAAGTAGCTTACAGTCTAATGGGGAAACATGAGAAAATAGGGTCACCTAACTCAGGAGGATTTTGAAAGTCTTCCCAGGGGACATAGTATTTAGGTAGACGCTTTGTATGCCACTCTTTGGTTGAATTTGATCTATCGTTTCCAGGGTTTGTTAGTTATCTATTGCTGCATAACAAATCACCCCAAAATTTAGTGGCTTAAAATCAATGAATGTTTATTAGCTCATGGTTCCTGTGGGTGAGGAATCCAGGCATAGCTTTGCTTGGTTTCTGGCTGAGGTTCTCTGACAAGGCTGCAATCAAGGTATTGGCTGGGGCTGCAGTATCCTCTGAGGGCTCGACTGGAGGGGGATCTATTTTCAAGCCCACTCACATAGTTGTTAGCAGGATTCAGCTCATTGTAGGCTTTTGGACTGGGGGCCTCAGTGCTTTCCTGGGGGTTGGCCAGTGACCTTGCTCAACTCCTCACCACATGGGCTTCTCCATAGGTCAACTCACGACCTAGCAGGTGGCTTCCATCAGAGTGGGCAAGTGAGGGAGAAGGAGGTGGTGAGCCAGATGGAAGCCAGAGTCTTGGTAAATCTAATCTCGGAAATGACATCCCATCACTTTTGCCATATTCTGTTCATTAGAAGCAACTCACTAGGTCCAGCTCACAGTCAAGGGGGGAAATTACGCAAGGACGTGAATACTGCAAGGAAGGGACCATTGGGAGCGTTTTTAGACCTGCCCACCACAACCTGGTTAGAGTTAATACAAGTAATGGTTATTATTCTCTGGGTCCTATTCACAGCAGGGGCTTCATCTATATTATTGCTCATCTTCATCATAACCCACCCTGTCAAGTCAATATCATCCCCATCAACTTACAGGGCTAGGGACTGAGGCTTAAAACCTACGCAGCCCGCTCAGGGTCTCTAACCGGAGGAGTCAGGATTCAAGCTCTGGTCTTGCCAGCTCCATAGCTCAAGGAATCTGCATTACCTCACGCACTGAGGTAGTGCTGGCATTGGGGATCTGATGTCACACTTTGAGGAGCCCTGCTCCAGAGTAATTGGAAGCTCTCGTCTGTTTAAATCTAGTTTAAAATCCTTAGCTGCAGGTCTCCCAAGAAAGAAGGCCATGGCTGAAAAACCCTTGCATGCAAGGCTTCCTCTGCATGGGCTTATTGCTTCTCATCACCAAGACTGCAAATGTTCTGTGCTCTGAGACCCCTCCGAGGCAGGCTGGGTCTGGGCTTTCTCAGGGCCTGTCACCCATAGCGTCTGCATCTGATCGGGGGACGCCTGCTCTAGGCAGATATAACAATCCTATCTGATCACAGCAGCCTGTGATGGCTGCTGTCCAAGGGCCTCGCTCTCCCCAGGGTTTCAGATCAAGACAGAAGACAGTGATTCCATTGAACCATTAAACGATGGAGGGCAGGTGGTGGGAACTATATTGAACCAAGACCAGATCGAAGCATGGAATATTGATTCCCAAGTCCCTACTGAGAAGAAAGGACTTAATGTTGCACGTTTAGATCAGGAGGGGACCCCAGGGGGCATTGAGAGCCCATATGGAAAGCCCTGACACTTCTATATTTTACTTAAAATTTTATGACAAAAGTAGCAGTTGCTTGTTATAATGAGTGACACAACCAAAAGGTGTGTGTGGCTGGAGAATCAGAAGAGCAGAGGGGTTAAATGCGTGGGCTGTGGAGCCAGGGCCTGGGTCCTGGCTTTATGGGCTTGGGCAAGGTCTGTGTGCTTAGGTTTTCTTGTCTGTAAAGTGGGGACAAGGAGCACTTTGAGCACTTTGCCTCGCAGATAGCCAGCGCTCAGTAACTGTGAACTGTTATTAAAAGGAAATCTTACTTGCTTCCTCATCCCCCTCCAGTCCCTTCTCCCTGAAGTCACCACCTTTAACGTTCCCTGGTGTGTCTCATTATACACTATTTTCCTTGTTCACACAAACTTCGTTCATATATGGAAGATTCAGTTCCTTTCAAAGGTTATTCATTAATTCAAGAAGTGTGTATTAAGCACCTTCTCTGTGCTGACACTGTTTCCAAGTGCTGGGAATGTGGCAGTGAACAGAACAGGCAATCCTCGCTCTTGTGGAGGTTTCTGGACCATTCTATGGATATCACTCTGAAATGTGCTTTTGTTTCATTAGCAATGAATGTGTTCTGTCCGTCCAGGTCAATGCAAATAGGGATGGATCAAACTCTTGTTTTTTTTGTCAGGAAGATTAGCCCTGAACTAACATCTGTGCCCATCTTCCTCTATTTTGTATGTGGGACGCCACCACAGCATGGCCACCGATGAGTAGTGTAGGTCTGCGCCTGGGAACCGAACCTGGGCCCCCAAAGCAGAGTGCACTGAACTTAACCACTAGGCCATGGGGCCGGCCCCTAACTCTTTATTTTTATAACTGTTATATACTGTCACGTGGTATACTATGATAAAAGCAGAGGTTATTCATTTTCAGGGTAGGTTGGGGCAAGGGGTTTGTGACAGAGCTTCAGAGAACGTGATAAGAAGTCTGGAGAATTCGCCCCAGAAAAATACACAGAAGGACAAAAAATTTTTGCATACAGTTCAGAGGTTATTTGAACCCCTTGAATCCCGTATGTGAACCCCGTAAGGCAGAAGCCTCAAACTGGAGCAGCACCCCCACCCTCACCCTCATACATCTCTCCTTCAGTCCACCACACTGCAGGTTGGGCAAGGGTCAGCTGTGCCCGTCAGACAAGGCCAGTGCCCTCCATTCACAGAAGACCTGCTTCTCTCTTTCAAACATTGGGGTTTCGAAGGGCCCCTAGCTCAGGGGTTCCTCTCCTCAAGTTTAAAGCCCGTTGAAAATATTCCTTACAGAGAAGGATCAGAGGCCTCCCTGCCCCCTTGAGTAAGGGATTCTCAACCATGGCAGTGGGTACACTTTAGAATCAGCTGGGAGCTTTACAGTGTCACCAGTGGCTAGACCCCACCCCCAGAGACTCTGGTTCAGCTGGACCAAGCTGGGCTCCTAGGCTCTATGTTTCTATATATATATGTCTATATGTTTAAAGCACCCCAGATCTTTCTAATGCTCAGTCAGGGTTCAGAACCATGGTTGTGAGTGGAAATCACAGCTGGGCTGGCATTTTACATAAAGGGCACTGGCTGGAATAGTAAAAGAAATGCGGATTAAGCAGAATATATCTGGGCAAAGCCACAGTTCTCCTGAATTCAAATCCATAAGGTTCTAACTTGCTTTATTTATCAACTAGGGGAAAAAGCTGTCACCTCCAGGCTAAGAATCTGAAACCCAGCCCATTAGCTTGTTTCCAAACACTTCATAACAAAAGCAAGGTTTATCTGCAATTGAAGTATTTGCCGAGAATCCTGGTAAAAGCCTGTAATTATCTGGTGGGCCAGGCTCTCTGAGCAGTTCCATTCCTGTGTGGGATGAGGGTTCTGCAATTTTCCGTCAGGTGATTTCTGCAGCTGAAGTTTAAAAGAAAAGAGGGGGGAAATTGCTTTTCGACTCCTGAGATCGCAACATGCGGTCCGGATGCCTTCCGGGAAGGCAAAGTGGAGTTGGCCACAGAGGTTATGGGCTGCTACTGGTAGCAGGGGAAAAAAGAAAAAGAGAAATGCAGCTTGATGACGGCTTTTCAAAAAATTAAAAATAGAATTACCATATGATCTAGCAATTCTACTTCTGGGAATGTACAAAAGAGTTGAAAGCAGGACTCTAACAGACATTTTGATTACACCCATGTTCACAGGAGCATTATCACAGTAGCTAAAAGGTGGGAGCAACCCAAGTATCCGTCAGTGGATGGATAAGCGGATCAACAAAGTGTGGTCTATCCATACAATGGAATGTTAGCCTTAAAAGGAAGGAAATTGTGACACCTGCTCCGACATGGATGAACCTTGAGGACTTTATGCTGAATGAAATAAGCCAGATATGAAAGGACAAATACTGTATAATTCCATTTATATGAGGTACCTAGAGTAGTCAGATTCACAGAGACAGCGAGAGTAGAGGTTATCGGGTTGGGGAGAGGGGAGAGTGGGGAGTTGTTGTTAATGGGCACAGAGTTTTAGTTTGGGAAGATGAAAAGATTTTTAGTTTGGGAGATGGATGGTGGTGATGGTTACACAATAATGTGAGTTGTCTTAATGCCACTGAATTGTATGCCTAAAAATGATTAAAAGAGTAAATGTTGGGCCGGCCCCGTGGCTTAGCGGTTAAGTGCGTGCGCTCCGCTGCC